AGACTTGACCATGCGATATGACAGGGTACACTGAAGGTGCAATTCACTCCACTCAATCCTCACAACCAGTCAAAAAGGAAAGTCGATCGCATCCAATAAACAATGAAGCAATGATAGTCTGAACCCAGTATCAACATTGATTCTCGAATTGTCAGAATAACTTCAGAACTATGATGCGCTGCTCAGAGATGAGCAGCGCTTCACTCCCCAACCCTGATGAACCGCTATCACTACCCCTGAGTCCCTGAAACATCAAGCGCCACCCAGATACAACCTCCAAAGGGAAGCGCCACCCTGAAACAGGTCTCTGAGGCGAAGCGCCACTCAGAGGATGAAGGAGAAGACCAGCGCCACAATATCTGATGATGACGAAGTGTCGAAAGACTTCCTGGGTGGAAGTCTGCAGCAACGCCACCCCTCCTGACTAGATGATCTCTGAGGAAGATGCTGCTGCAGGGCCACTACCCTGGAACCCCACTCCGGAGGAGGGTCCAGCAGGGCACCAACTTCCCTCGCCTCCAGGAGACCTCAATAACCCAGACCTTTGTACAGCCCCGCGTGCTGACAGAGTACAACGAAGGGCCCAGCTATGGCTGGCGCTTCGAAGGTCTGGCTATGTCCGTCTCCCTCAACGCTGAGTTGTCACCACTTCCAGTTCACGCGTTGCACAACAGCGATGTACTATGTACCAACTGCCAAAAGCCTTGAACCGATGTGCCTAACCTATCTATAGTCTACTCTAGCCTAGACTCGACCTAGACCGGACTGACTGACCAACCGGTACTGTTTCTGTTTCAGCCTCTAGGGCCTCTCCCAACCCCGACTATAGGCTATAGGATCGTCTATCAACTTAGACCCTTAGGGCCTGTCTGTCCTAGGGGTAGCCCGGGTCTACTATTCGCAGTTAGGGTAGCTGTACGAAATTCAGTTAGTACGGGCCTGTATTTTCCCAAATTTGCAGATATGTCCCTCACGAATTTCCTCACAGTTAGTTGTCGTGGTTAGCCCTCAGTCAAACAAAATTACGAATCTAACCTAAGACGCGACCCGACCGAGGCAAGCCTCGAGCTTCGCCCTCGGCCCAATGTACAGTCCACTGAGAATCTGCAGGCTTCATTACACACTGTTGCGGTTTCCACTGCTGCAGTTTCCACAGCTCCAGTTTCCGTTACTGCAGTGTCCACTGTTGCGGTTTCCACTGCTGCAGTGTCCACTGCTGCAGTTTCCATTGCTTCAGTTTCCATCGCTCCAGTTTTTGTTGCTGCAGTTTCTACTGCCGTGGTTTCCACTGCTGCAGTTTTCAGTACAGAAGTTTCCCTAACTGTAAATTCACCCTACTTTAGTTTTTACTGCTACAACTTCCTGTTCTGCAAATCCAATGCAAAGAACATTGCAATCTCTCTGACGATCACGTCCTTTGCTCCGAGATCTTGCCCAATGCACCCCCCTCTCATCTTTGTCTGTGCTTGGCTGTAGACGGCTGCGTTCCTCCTCACCACGGTCTCGCTTGCGAACTGACTCTCCAGTTTCCATTGTTCCCATTGTTCCACCTGCGTTGCTAGGTACAAGTTCAGCTTCTGTTTGCAACACCACTACTCCTCTTGTTGTGTATCACCGACGACATCTGCGACATCGTCACTTGTCCGGGGATCAGCAACCTGTTTCTTTGTCTAGCCCGATTCTCTCTGTGCCTCCTCCGTAGGTTGTTGCGGTTCCTTTGTTTCAAATGGCAATATCCGCTCCTATGCCTCCTGCAGACAGTCCAGCTGCATGCAGGCAGCCACCAGTCCGTACTCAGGATGCAGCCGCTGCCCAGAGTACACTCCCGACTCCAGGTACAGTCCCTTCTCAGGATGCAGCCCTAAACGTTGAGGGATTGGAACACGATCTGCCCGGATTGCAGTTGACCCCACAAGGCGTAGACCACATGGGGGGTCTTTTTTATTTTTTTTTTATTTTAAAAAACAGCCTGTATGGGAGATAGGGGCGCTGATACGAGCAAACACCTCTATCTCCCCCGGGGGCGCTCCATCTATTGGTGGGGAGCAGAAAATGGCTGACCAGCATTGTTCAGATGAACCACAATTTTGTGCTCCACCACACGCAGACCACACGGGTGATCTGCAAATGACTGACCAGCAAACAAACCAACACAGTTTGGGTTTGCAACACCATCTGGGTGATTTGCAAATTGTTGGCCATTATCCAACAAACCAGCCTGAGAACCTCACCGATCTCTGTGGTCTGACAGCAACTAATATTTGTCTTCACATTCTCCATCGCCCGTTTTATACACCATCAGACTTCCTTGCAATCGCCCTTCAGCTTGATGCTGATCTTCCCCAACGACAGCTAGAGGATTGTAATTATACCAGTGAAGGAGGCTTTACCATTGCTGTCCTACAAGTAGCAATGAGGGACCGTCAACTTGAACTACGCAATGCTCGAGCAGGTGAGTGGTTTAATYCTCCAYCCCACATCTCTGCCTGCATTGTGCACGGCCCTGGCCATTACATGGCCATTGTACATGCCTCTGACCACTGGGAGCTGTGGGACAACGGCACCATGGTCCATGCCATGATTGATGTCACTGATTTCTTACAAAATGATGCTGTTTTCTTGCCACAACAAACCGTCCGCAATCTCTTTTATGTCGAAGATCATTCCTCTGGCCCCGTGCTGCAGTAAGACAATGTACCAACACTCTGCGACCTTCTCCTTTGCACAACCACAAACACTGTTACATTTGGCTGTAGCCGCCATCGTCTCTGTCACAATCACTGCAATGACATGGTTTCTGCATCCATGTGTGCAGAGGACTGTCGCACCGTTCCTGACTGCAGGCACCCTCCGCATCCGGACAATATATGTCCATTTTGCGGCCATGGGCGCTATACTGAATGCATGCTCTTTTGTGGTGACCGTTCTTCTTTCATTTTGGCCTGCAATCGACATGCCATTTGTCGGGGGTGTGTGGCGGGCATGCTCAATGCCACCCGTCGTGGCAATTGTTGCCCTGAGAATGCTCAGCTAGGTCTTCCATGTGTTCATCCACGTCATCCTTACAATGTATGTCCTCTCTGTCGTCAAGGACAGACTCATTCTTGAGCCTTTTCTTATCCTCTTTTGCCTTCATCTTCACTCCACACTCCATACTTTCCCTTACTTTCCCTTTATCGTTCTTTGTTTGTCTGCTCTCCATCTCTCCTTCCTGTGTTTATCCCCTCCCCCTTCACTCTGCCTCTTTCTCACAGTGTACAAGTGGGCTGTTGTGGCACACGGGGATGGGGGCAGCTCGCGCTCAACTTCATCAACGTGGCGAGCCTTGAACGTGAGAGGCACAGTGAAAGGGGAGTCAAAAGAAGAATGAGTAAAATGAATGGTTTCACTGTGCCCTTCATGTTTGTCTTGTTTTTTATTTATTTATTTTTTTTGCCGTTTGTTTCTAGGAAGATTCTCACGCCCGGCCGGTCCTGCCCGGCTGGGTCACGCCCGGGGGGGTCTGACGCCCGGGATTTTTTTTTTTTTTTCAGTTTTTGGTTTTCTGCGCTCTCCCAGAGGACTCCAAATCCGGGCTCATTGCGTTTTTTGCGAGTTGGCTGTCAAGTGGGGGGGAGGGGGGTATAAATTGGTTTTAAAGGGGCTAAAGGGGTCTAAAGGGGGGTGCCTTTGTGTGATTCTGTTATTTTCTTTTTTATCTCCGATTCTGTGAGGAATTATAATGTGACCCTCAGCCAAAAGTGATTTGCATTTCAATCCTACACAACATATTGTTTTTCCCGATTTTTTGAGTTTTTTTTTTTTTTTTTTTGGGCGCTGGGGCTGCCCGGAACCCTGCCCGGGGGTCATGCCCGGCCGGGCACCCGGGTGTGTACCCGGGCAGAAGTTGGGTGCCTGGGCGCCCAGGAAAACAGCCTAGGTTTGTTTCGCAAATTGCGCTCTTTTAGTTCATAGTTATGTGACAATATATATATTGTTGTAGAGAACTGCCCGGTAAACTGTAGGCAGAGAGGGAGAACAGGACAACAAACGAGGGGCTGTGACAGACTGTTTGGTCAGTTTCGCCGACTCGTGGGGAAGCTATTCCCTTTAAATAGTATCTTTACAGATGATTCTTCTGAGGATCGTTTTTCTTTTCTTTTTTTCAGATACACCGAAGGCCTCTCAACAACAATGTGCCTCCTTTGCAAAACTGAGGGCCTTGCTCACACTAGGACTTTTTCTACAAAGCTCCGGTCGCAATTGCAGTCATATTCATCAGGTCTGGCCGTAATTGCAGTCAGATGCATTTTGGAAAGTGCTAGTTTCAGTATGCCCTGGTTCCAAGTGGTTTGCCAGTGTTCATCTTGTGAAAATTCCCTTCTTATAATAAGTTTTTACTCTGGGCTATACTGGGCACAGACATGCATCCAGCCACCCCAAGTTCCCCCAGGCACGTAAGAACTCGTTTTTTTTCCCCCATCTTTTTTCTTTTCCAGGTTGGTGGGGCGCTTCTGCACCCACCGGAACCAGCTCAAATCTGGGACCTCTTTTGTTTCTCAGTGTTGTCCGTTGAGGGGAGGGAAGGGGGGTGAAAATGGGGCTTAAAAGGGCTTAAAGCCTTAAAGGGGATCAAAGGGGTTTAAAAGGGGGGTGCCTTAGTTTGATTTTTATAATTCCGTTTTTTTTAATCTCTGATAAGGAATTCTGAGGTGACCCTCGGTCAGAAAGATAAGGGTTTTGCAGTGCAAGTCTGCACAACATAGGTTTGTTTCCAGGTTTTGTTGATTTTTTGTTTTTTGTTTTTTTTTTTGCCCTGGGGGGACCACCTGGGACAGCACCTTAAGGTCCTGCCAGCCTGGGCAGGCGGCTGTGTGTACGAGCACAAAATTTGTGCCCAGGTGCATGGAAAACCAGCCTAGGTTTGTCTTTAAATTTCTTTCTCTGCAAACGGCTTTGTTTGCTCCTCCTCTTCCTCCTCGTCTCTCACTCTCCGACTGCTTCTAATGTGTCTCTGACAGCCAACAGTTGCAGCAATCAAGGCAGGGAAAGATATAGCGCTGGCAAACAAGGAGACTCTCATCGCAGGTGGCCCTGCAATCTTGCCGTTGGCCCATGAACATGGGGTGAAGATTCTCCCAGCTGACTCGGAACACTCGGCTATATTCCAGGTGGGTTCAACTTCACTGTGGTTTCCCTTTTTAGATCGATGAAGGTTTGGCTGGTTGCGTTTTTTTATTATATATATAAATAAAAAGTTCAACCAGGGCTGGGCTGGCGACCGGCCGGCGTTGCTGGCCGGGACCTGCCCAGCGGGATCAGTTGAGGAAACCCAACCGGAATTTCAGCTGGGCCCAAAACAGAGCTTCCCTTTTTTTTCCTTTTTTTTTTCTGACTGCGGGGTCCGATTGTGCTCATCAAGAACAGTCAGAATCCGCAATAAAAAGTTTGAATGAACAACCCTCTTTTCCGGGGGTAGGGTCAGGGGGGGAAGGGGGGGCAGGGGAGATTAGGGTTTGGGGCAGGGTGTTGTGGAGTCCCAGGTGAACGCTAGAACCTGCATCAGAAGAGAGGATTTTTTTTCCCTCCTGTCGTCTTTTTGGATGTAGGTGAAGTTTCCTAATTTTCTTCAGGTTGTGTATCTAATTTTTCTGAGTTTTCGAAAATTTCTTAAAACTCTTAAAAAGTTGGATGCTGGTTGTAGTGGGGAGGTGGTGTATTGTTTGGTGTGCGGTGTGGTAGGAAGGTTGGTATTGTGTCCTGCGGCGAGGAAGGCTTTTTAGCAGGATGGATGTAGGGCATAGCAGCGGTAGGGATGGTGGCTCTGGTGTGGTAAGTCTTGCCGGAGTGGGGTTGTGAAGGATAGATGTATGGGGTTGATGAAAGACTGCAACCAGCTCTTGTAGGAGTTGGAGGCATTGGAACCATTGTTATGGTGATGTCGGCAGCTTGTCTGATGTTTGCTGATTCCCGTGAATTCAGAGGTTTCTGAACGGACGAGGCCGGAACGACGCTGGCAGGTGCAGGGGCGTGGTCGCGCTGCCTTGTAACCTAAGCTGTTTGGGGGCAAGAGGCCTGGTAGAGAGATCTGGGGAGTTGTCGAGGGTGGAAGGCACTCCAGTGTCTGTTGGCAAGCTGGTACTCAGACGACATTGGTCGAAGCCGGGGTGAGTCGCTTCACCCTGTATCCCAGCAGGTGGGGGATTATTCTGGAGTGGGTCGTGCCACTCTGTTACCTAGCAGTTGGGGGTGTGAGGCCTGGTAGAGACTGAGTATAGAGGACATGGGGGTTGAGGTAGGCTTAGGGTAGGCGGCTGAATAGCACTAAAGCATTTTGGTTCTAGGTTGAAAGCTTCTGTGGATTCAAGATTCAAGGCAGTAGTTGCTCATGATTTTCTAAATTCCCATCTCAGTTAATTCTTAGCCAAAGCTGGGCAAGGGTTCCGGCTCCTTACATGTTTTGTAAAAAGCCATATGGGATGCTGAACCCAGTTTTCCAGCACCAAAAAAAGAGGCGAGTGGGAGAAGTAGATGGTGAGATATCAAGCGTCCTACTAGTGAGGGGGCTAGCTCGTAGGATGGAAATAGGGTACAGCAATAGTGGAGATGGTGGCTCTGCTGCAGTAAGTCTTGCCGGAGTGAGGTAAAGGGGATTGATGGGGGATTTCTGAGTTGTTTTCTGAATTTTGCCTAAAAAAAGAGGATCATCTTTCGGGTGGTTTTGAGAATGCTTTAGGATTCTGGGGACTTCTAGCAACTCTCTTTAGGCTGTTTGATACTGGTACATTCATGGATCTGCGGTTGTTCGGTGCCAGAACGACGCTGGCCGGGGCTGCAGTGTTGCCCTGTAACCTGCTGATTGCAGGAGCGTGAGGCCTGGTAGAGAGATCTGGGGATGCTTTGGGGTGGGCATTCCAAGGGACAACCAAGGTTTGCTGTTGAGACGACACTGGCCGGAGCTGGAGCGAGTCGTGTTGCCCTGTAACCTAGCCGGGTGGGAGTGTGAGGCCTGGGAGAGCTTGACAGGGGATAAGACAATGTTGGACAGTCTTAGAGAGTTTTGATTGGGAGTCTAGGGGTTCTGAGCATTCGAGAAGCAGTCAGTAGTCATTCATAGTTTTCAACGTCTCCTTTAATTCTCTTGAATTTCTACATTCGAGAAGCGGTCAGTAGTCATTCATAGTTTTCAACGTCTCCTTTAATTCTCTTGAATTTCTCCAATAGTTCTCAGATTGATTCTCAGCCGAAGCCGGGTAATGGCCCTAGTATCTCAAATGACTTGTGTAACTCTATATGGGACGCTGGGCCCGGTTCCCAGCACATGCTGCTCCCCACGATTAGATTGGAGCATTTGTCCCAAAAAAAAAAAAAAAAAAGGCAGAGCCACACTCTGCAGTAATTACCATGGCAAACCGAAATCCAGACCGTGCGGTGTTTGGTCCGGTAGGTTTGAATTGGGCCCAATTTTGAAAAATTCGATTTTTTTTTGGGTGGTTCCTATGACATTTTCCGGGTCCTAGGCCGCCCTCAAAAAATGCCCCCGGGATTTTTTGGCCGTTTCATGGCCTACCGGACACCGCCAGATGCCTCTAACAGCTCCCTCTGTTGAGTCTGGTTTCGGAAATGAAGCGCTGGCTGCAAAGCACCACAAAACATCAAGAGAGAGAGAGAGAGAGAGAGAGAGAGAGAGAGAGAGAGAGAGAGAGAGAGAGAGAGAGATGTGATATTGGTCAGATCTGAGATCCCGTCTTAGATCTGGTCCTGACCAGATCTCAGATCTGTTCTTCCGCAGATCTGAATAACTTAACAGTTTAAATTTTCAATTTTCATATGAATATGAATTAGAAAGTCTAACTTCACGGCAGGAAGGATCCTAAACGGCAGGAAGGATCCTAGACAAAAAAAACGACCCTAGTGACGGAAGATGGTGCCTCATGCACTTTAAATGGAAAGAGGAAGAGTTTGTATTGATCAACGTCTACGCTCCAAATGATTCATCCGAGAGGACCACCTTTGTCGCCAATCTAAGCAGAATGATTCCCCCATCTCTCAACTTGTGTTGTAGCTGGCGATTGGAACACCATGATAGATCCCTCCACAAACCGTATATCAAGGTCGTCCAGCTCACCTAACACACAAGAGGCGATACCAATCGAGAAATTCATGCTAGATCACAACCTGGTATAACGGTATAGAACTCCGCACCCTACCAAAAGGACCTTCACACTAATAAAAAAGAATCACGCTCATCACACTGCCTTCTCATTCATAGATTACTTCTTGGTATCAGAGACAATGATGGGGGCGGTCAAAAGTGTTGAAATTCTACCTCTTCAACAGATTCGGGCTTGGACCATAAGCCGATTGAGCTAATAATCAGCTTTGAGCATTTTTTGAGAAAAAGGGGCAATTTTTACAAATTAAACAACTCTCTCCTATTGAGTCAGATTTTTCAGGGCGGGGTATGCGACTGTTGGCAAAACCAGAGAGCCACACGCCTGCCCATTCATGATCGATGGAAGTGGTTCCAAGAGAGCTACTCCACTCTCTCCCAGACAGTGGCAAAAATCTCAAGGAAGCTAGCTACCATGAGAAAGCAAAGGAGACAGACTCTTGAATCAGCCCTAAAGATCATTGAGACCAGCCTGATTGACAACCCTTCGTCTTCGCTATACTCCGACGTCCTTGAGAAAGCACGTGAGGAATTGGCTTTATGGAGATGGTGGCACCTAAAAGGACTCCAAATAAGAGTCAGAATGAACGAATACGAGCTCAACGAACCAATGTCGAAACACTTTTTTGCCCGCATCAAAGCCAACTCGAGGGCGAGTACTATAGAGAGGTTGAAAACTCTCACAGTCCCGAAAGAGACAGTATCCCATAGCGAAGGAATGCTAGAAGTAGCAAAAGATTTCTACCAAGAGCTCTATCAAACCAAAACCCCGACGCCCACTCCACCCGGCACAAGGGAAGCAAGACAAAGGATGTTACAATACCTGAAACAAACGATAACAACCGAGCAAGCGAAAATGTTAGACAAACCACTCACTTCGGAAGAACTATATCAGACACTCAAGAGTATGAACAATGATAAATCACCAGGGATTGATGGGTTAACGAAAGAATTCTAGGAGAAATTCTGGCCACTCCTGGGTGGCAACTTGCTAAACTTCTACAATGACAGTTGGGCGAAAGACGTAGTTACTCTGTTGTACAAGAAGGGAGATAAAGAGGACGTCAGGAACTACAGGCCTATTTCGCTCCTTACGCTCCCCTACAAGATCTTGGCCAAAGCCTTATCTGCTAGAATCGTGGAATTAACAGATAAGTGCTTCCATATCGACCAAACAGGTTTCATTCCGGGGAGGTACATACTGCATAACGTATTGACTCTAAATGAAGCAACCAATAAGGTTCGAGAAAAGAGGATAAACACAACCATCCTTTTCTTCGACTTTGAAAAGGCGTATGATCAAGTGAATTGGACCTTCGCAAGCATGGAGAAGATGGGAGTGGGACCAAACTTTAGGAAATGGATACGCATCTTGTACAACGATGCTACAGGCTGTGTACAGGTAAATGGCTTGTTGTCTGAATGTTATCCAATCTCCAGGTCAGTCCGTCAAGGAGATCCGCTAGCTCCCTCGATCTTACTATTCGTAATGGAAGCTATTGCATCATTCTTACGCAAGGACACGTCCATTCACAGACTCCCAGAGGTCAACGTGGGGTCAGCCCACCATATGAACTTCCCGACAGTAATCATGTTCGCAGATGACCTTACTGTCCTGATCAGAGCCTCAGACTCCTCATTCAGAACTTTGGCTAGAGCCATCGAAGCTTTCAGATTGGCCTTTGAGATGAGGATCAACTGGAAAAAGACGGTAGGATGGTGGCTATCAGACGAGGACCTCCCTCATATGCAAGGGTCTGAGGCTGCCATGACGTGGGAAACGTCGAACACCCCAACCCGCTACCTTGGTATCCTTATGAAGATGGAGGGTCTGGCGCCCCAAATGGCCCAAAATGTCCCGACAAAGCAAATTAATAAACTAGGGAGATGGGGGAACACTTTCACCTCACTAATTGGTCGAGCCCTAGTTCTCAACACATCACTTGTTCTCTATGATGTGGTATATAGCCTCAATCTGGACAATACCGGATAGCTCGA